GGTGGCACCGTTGGGCGGACAATGTCTCTCAGCCCGAGACTCGTTTATCGCTCAGATCGCCACTGTGAGTAGAACACACTGTCCGAGCCCCGGGGCGGCGGCAGGTCCGATTTCTCGTCTTAGACTGCCTCACTGGGGCCATTGTTTGGTGATTCGGAGGTATTCTGTTCACGGACCGGGACGACGCGACCGTAAGGTGCCACAAGCTAGCCCAACGCCCATGGACAGGTGTCCTTTGTGTTTGGACTGGAAACCAATAACTGGTGTCCTGGATTCTGGCACAAGGATCCCTATTCCCTTGAGGCTTATGTGACAGTGGTTGATTTTCTTCTGTGTGACTAGACAGCAAATTCACTGGCTTTCAATTTTGCAAAACTTCTCTGTTTCATCAACTTTTCCCCTAAATCATCGTCCCACATTGGTTATTTTGGGTGAGCAGGCTTATTTCAAAACTTCAGTTCGTTAGTAATTGAATTTGCAACCGGATAAAATGAAAAGTAAGTAAATTCATAAGCAATTAATTTTACATTCACCTTACAGCTATACCTGTAAGGTGTGATATCATTGTTCCCATCGAACTACACTTTTTGCACAAAAAAAAAAACATCAGATTTCTATATGAACAATATAAAAGATCACATTCGGCAAGCATAAACTCATTAACATCCCAACAACACCCTTATCGCCTATCGACTCAATCCATCGCCGACCGATCAGCTGGATGGAGGATCGATTCACCGGTCTGGATTTCCGGCCCCTCCTCTCCTCCTCCCCACCCTCCCGGTCCCGGGTGACGGGAGTGGTGGGGCGGTGCTAATCTCTCGCGGGGCGGTGGGAAGGGAAGGGCTGCCGATCGCAGGGGCGGCCGAGGGCAGCTCACCAGCCGGCGCACTTCCGTTCGCTGGTGGTTGGGTGGGGAGAGGTTGGTGCTTGCGGTCAGCACTTGCGGGCAGTTTGCGCTCAGTTGCGTATGAACGACGGTGGTTCAGAAAGCCGTACAGGGAAACACGTGTGTGTCGTGTTTGAGTAGCGTGATGGATGCTGTGTCGGTCGGCTTTTTTATTATACAAGAATGTGAGATAACTATAACACGAATGTCACGCCGTTTACAGCCCATGGACTTGAAAATGAATGTTTTGATAAGAGATTCGGGCAATGAAAGAAACATGGCTCTTGACGTAGGCATCTGGGCTGTTGTTGAAACAGGCCCAAAACTGGCTCACGAAGCTTGCTTTGAACGGATATATTAGCCGGCTCATTTCAGTCACGCGTGTGCCATTTAATCGCCGAATGTGCGGTACTTAACCACCATTAGTGGCGGCGATCTGGCCGGTTATCGCCGCGTTTGTCACGCTCTGGTGTTCAGTGAGCGTCATCCCGGTCAGACGGCCAATCAACGACTGCCGACAAATAGTTGACCAGCCGTCCGGCGGTGTTGGACGACAGCTGACGCCACAGACAGCCGGGCTGCCGAACGGGGCGGGTTTTTGGGCGACGGGCAGTCGACGGTTCGGGCAGTCGAGCAGGCCCAGATGTCAAGACAGACCGCTCAGGCACGGACCTCTCTGCTGATGGAATGGCTCGGCTCCTGGCGACACAGATGTGCGATCGATGCTATCACGGCTTTACGAAATCGCCGCGGTATTCGAGGCGCTAGAGATACCGTTTCTGAATCGGTCAGCCCAATCGCCAGCGACCGGAGCGGGCGGCTGGTGGGAGCGTGACTGGACCAACCCACCGGTGCCGCGGGCTCGCCCATCACCGGGGCACTTCTGGCGATAGCTGGCCGATCGTGCGGTCATCCGACTCCTCCCCCGCCGGGTCAGAGCGCGGCGCGGTCGACTGGAGGCCGCTGCGGTCGGCCGACACTGCACGGCCGCCGCCGCCGGCTCGGTACCGCACTGCACGGCCGCCGCCGCCGGCCCGGTACCGCACTGCAGACGCCGCTGAGGGCAGCCGATCGGTATGGCCGCCGGAGCCGGACCGGTGCGGTGCAGCCGAGCGGCGCTGCCGGGGACTCTCCGCACCGCGCGCCGGCCGCCGCCGCCCCGACAGCCCACACCTGGGCGGCGGCAGCGGCGGCGGCACAGATGCTCGCCGGCGCCGGCCGCCCGCGGCGCCCCGCCTCTGCCGCCCGATCGGCTGCCGCGTGGTGAGAGCGCGGCCCGGCGCGTCGGCCCGACCGACCAGCCGGATTGGGTCGGCTCGGCTGTCCCCGCCGCCTGCCTTCCGCCGCATACCGCTCCGACTGGCCGCCTGGGCCCACCGCCGCCTGGGCCCGCCACCGCCCGCCGCCTGGGCCCGCCACCGCCCGCCGCCCGCCGCCGCCCGCCGCCCGCCGCCGCCCGCCGCCCCCCGCCGCGCCCAGAGACCGTGGGAACGCCGGTGGTCGCGCTGGGCCGAGGATGTGCTAACCGGGCGGCCGAGCTGCTTTACGATCCAGAGGTGGGCACACCAGGATGCCCGGAGCGCGCAACATCGCTGGATGTCTGATACGGCATGATGGAACCCTTGGTGGAACCACGGCTTCGGTCATCCATGAAAGAAGCATGGGTCGACTCAGCGGGGCCGAGGTTTTTCGGAGAGGTTTTGTGTTTTCGCTTGAGGCTGATTGAGATCTTTGTGCCTCAGTGCTTTACCCGCAAACATCTTCTTGTTGGGAAAGAATTTATAAGTGATGTTTGTCTAGCCTCCAGTATAAGGAGACGGATGCTGTCCTGTGTTGATATTTGCATAGAACGTTACAATAGTCTGTTCAGTGTATCTCTTGGGTAGTCAATGGACTTAGTTTAAAGTAACCTTCCGTGAAATTCGTGCTGTGCTTGTGTTTCTGATTTCTATGCATTTGCATAATGTCCAAAACTTAAATAAAATTTAGTTTAAATCAACATGAAACATATGAACTGCAAGTGGCTTACGAAGCACCTCTTTATATTCGTCTACACCGATCCATTGAGCAGATATTTCTCTTCAGCCATCCAGTTGCGAAATGCCAGATAGGCTGGATGGTTCTGAGACCAAAGCTCAGCGCGCCGGAGATGTCGGAACCAATCCACCCCTGTTACCAGCTTTAACTGGCTGCGGTTACACCCAGTAACCACAGAGCAGCTCCACAGTGCGCTTCATGCATTCAGAACGGACATCCGGCTCGTGCGATTACGTTCCACACGTAGGTATCTCTATCTGAATTTTCCTGTTGATAGTTGTTGCTACTGTCTCGCCACTGCGCCTGTCGACTGTTCGTCCTTTCCTGGACGTCGTCATCAGCGCTACATTGCATTCCTATGTGGCCCGCGCAGCCGACTCTCGCCTGGCGACCCGAACGGTTGACCCGGCGGCGCGGCCTCCCGGGTCGGGGTCAGAGGTCATCCGCTTCCCAGCCGTCTGCCAGCGGCGGCCGGCGCGCGAGGCAACATGGTTACTGAGCAGCGCCGGCCGAGCGACGCAGGAGCAGGGATGTCGGGTCGGGCCCGCTGCCAACGACGGAGCCGTGTTTGACCCCGAGATTGGAGAGTGTGGGTCATAAAAGCTGGGGCTGAAGTCAGACAAAATACTGCATATAGAAAGAACTGAACATACGGGAGAGCGGGAAGTCACAGAAATGCGTCATTGTGATTGCGATCAGTTTGACAACCATTATAGAAACCGCCCATGTTTTTTTTTTCTTGAGTACCTTTGTTGAAGTCCCGAGACCTTTGTTTTAGCATTGTTGAGCAGCCAACAGTCTTTTGTTTGTGCATCTATATAAAGCCAGGCTTACAAGCTGCCCTCATGCAGCATGTGCTATGTCATGTGCATTATGCATGCATGCATTATGCTTTGTGCCAGGCATCTGCACTGCTTTCATGGGCCCTTCCGGCCATCAGAACCAGTTATGAGCAGCTGGGTAACGGTCTCTGCCCACCGACGGGGGCACCACACGGGCACCCACCCCGACTCAGAAGGCCGCGCTCCCGCCAGATGGACTGCAGCCAGTCACGCCACTGATCTCTATGCGCTCTAAATTAGCAGATTAACAGTCAGACAAAACAGTGCTGCTTATGAATATTCAGTTTTTTTTTCTTTTGTGGAGTAAGTAGACAAAAAAAAAAACACTAATTATACTTGGTCTTCCTGTTTCCCCGTCTTAGGTTAATTATCCATTTGATATATATGGCCTTGCATTTGATTGTGCAAGGCATTCTTGGTATTCTTGAATCATCCATCTGGCACGTGTGAGAGTGGAAAATGCTCCTTTATTGGATATGTTGCCTCAGGCAAGCAGCAAAGATATAAGCGATTAGGTATTTTCATTGCAGATGCATATGAACTTGTAAATTGTATAAATGTAGAATAAGATTTCCCATCAGATGACTAGTGTATACGGATGTAGCCGATGAATTTCAAAAAAGTATGCCGGGATGCATTCGACATAGGTCACTCAGGCTAATCAGACACCGATATCTCCCAGCAGTCTGGACTTTTACGGTTTAATTGTGACGGATGGTTAAGTGTCACCACTTTCTATACTAGGTTCCGATCATCATTTGATGCCACGGGACATTTCCAACAAGTTACGCTCATTGGACACGCAATGGCTGTGAGAACAGACGAAAGGCGTCCGAATAATGGTCAGCCATCGAGTACAGCCTCCGCTGTATCATTAGAGGCCATTGACCTGACAATTGTTCTCATGGACATGGAACGATCATCGGGCAGTGTCGATCTTTTATTCAGTTCACCCTCTGCTTTAGTGTCACTGTCGTCTGGAACAATCGTAATCATCACAATTTTTACGTATGTAGATCCCTTTCTTGACTCTTCGATGGTAGTTTGCGATTATGCGTATGCGATTATAACCCGGTAGCTATCTGGCACGACGGGTGACCTGACCCGATGTTGATCTGACCTTACAACTACCTGACCCTATGGGCACCTGACCTGGCGCTAACCTGATCTAACAATGACCCAGCCCAGCCCAGCAGTGACCTGACCTGACGTTGACCCACCTCCTCCGGCAGGTTGTGAACGTGCTGTACCAGGAGAACGATTGGGTGTATGTGATATCGGAGAGCAGTCAGCAGGAGGGCTTCATACCGCACTCGTACTGCGCGCCGCACGGCTCGCAGCTGGCAGACCTCGCGCTCAGTGTCAAGGTGAGGAGGCAGGCACTGGCCTGTGGTTGACTTGGGGGATCTTCCCTCAGGCGAAGGAAGTATATGTATGTATGTATGTATTTACATCGTGCAATCGGTCCATGAACACGTGGCTATTATGATTGACATGTCATAAAAACGGAACATCGGGATTCAGTTGCACAACTAACACACCATTCACGCACACACACTCAGCTCACATCACATTTGTACATCGCGCTACTCATTTGGTTGTTTTGCCAGAAGATGTTTGCGGAGTTTTAGCCTGAACTCTCGCGTTCCCATGTTGTGGAAACTCGGTGGCAATTCATTGTAGCCCGTGACGGCAGAGTGTGGATACTATTGTTACATGGCTGAATGAGTGTGGCTCATTTATCATATAAATGTGCTGAGCATGCTCTAAATCGACAAAAAAGATCATTGTCTGACTGACTTGTTTTGGTCTCAATGTCTCAATAGCCTGTTCAACTGTTCCTATTTTTCTCATGCTCTTGTATTTCACGAATTGTAGAGCTATGTAAAGTATATATTCGCTTTCAAGTAGCTATTTCATCAAATCCAACCCATAGATGGAATAAGACGTCGCCGCCGGCGGTATAAAATGTCCCACTGTGCCTCGCGTGAGGAAGCTGCTTCCCGTGTCGTGGCAGTCGTCTGAGTTGACAAATGTGTCGCTTGGCTGGTTGCTCAGTCGTGTTTACGTCCGATGCTGCCATTGACTGCAGGCTGCCAGTCACCCTACATTCCGACACTTTCCATCATGCTCTTCCACCTATCCGTCACGGCTCACAAAGTGCTCCCATATGACTTTCGTGACGGTCATTTTAGGACGTTTCCCCAAGTTTGATAGAAGCTGAAATAGGTCTTGCTTATCACTCTGCTGATGATTGCTATTCACTTTACCTGTCTTATTAAAGCCAGTTCACTGAGACATGCATTGCATGTAGCTCCTATAGCCACAGTCGTTGAGTACCGTTCTGTGATTTTCCGCAGAAGAAGCTTCCGCGCGAGCTGACGGTTCCAGATGGCAGCGGGGCTGGACCCGGCGGTGGCGGCGGAGAGGCGGACCACAACACAACCATCGGCAACGCCAGCACAGGTAAACGGCCGAGAAATGGCTCTGAGATAGCGATGTGCTATGTGTTTAGTTATTTTCCTGAGCTGTTGAGCTTTCAGCCCTAACCATCACTGTTCGGCCATTGGTAGTTTAACCAAAGTGAAACGTTCCCAGTGCGGCTGGAAGGTGCGGTACATACACCACTCAGCTAGTAATTAAAAGGTCGAAAGATAAATATGAATAAAACTAACATTTTGGCATCTGATGGAGATTGTCTCAGCTCTCACGTTTACTCAAGAGGCTATCTGAACAAAGACCTATCCTAATATAGCCACACACGATCCCACGCAGTCCCATTCTCCAAACCTCCAAACTGTATGGCTCGTTTGATTAACGATTGCGCATGTCCGATTTATGCGATAGCACCACGGCTGCTGATCGAACTGATACATTCGGTTTCGTTTATATCGATGATTACCGATGTCTGACGACACCTCATGACAGATGAATCGGCCCTCGACGCTCTCGTAGCTGGTCGCCTAATTGTCCGCCGCAGCATCCCCCGCCGTTCGGCCCGCCATGGTCCGCTTTGGTCCGGCAGCGGGCGGCGGACCTCTGCAGGGCTATAGTCTACACCCATGTTTCTTGGCACAGCTAACAAAACCACTGGTTTCCTCAGATCGGAACGGTGTCGAGACGTCGGATAACGACAGTTTCACGGAGGGTGGCCGGCCGGAGCCGCGCTCTACACCTTCCGGACACAGCGGACCCGCGCCCGACGTCCACCCCTTCTTTAAGGTAAACAGGAGCACCGAGTGAACGCTCCTGAGACGTCACGGTTTGAATAAAGAAAATTCATATTCTTTATATTCCCCAAAGACAATCATGCTCTGCTATATGGTTTTATTTTGATGTAAAAAATGTACCTACGTATTGGCAAAAAACAAAAATGATTCGCTAAAATAAGTTCAGCTCTCTACTTCGATGAACAGAAAATGCATTATATTTTTGATAAATCACCATTCCTGATCCTGATGCATACTAATGATGTGGTATCTCCCGTTCTCATGGGACAGCTCGCTTTACAGCCAGCTTGCTGTGCTTCTGAGGCTTTGCATGTTATTTCGGGCCTATTTCTAAGTTTACCATTTCGGGCTCACTCTTTCCGTGTCGTTTAACGCTTCTCTGGGAAAACCTGACTCTAAAAGCATTCTTCCGCTTGTTTGTGGCTGGCTAGGAGCTTCAACCTGCTGTAGCTATGGGATTGAATCTCAGTCTTGAACCGTTCATAGCACGATACTTTCCTTTCTAGGATCATTACCCTTCAGGGTTCATAACACGCGACGCTCCCATAATATCTCGTCCTCACACTCCCTATGTTGTACATACTCCGCCCACTGACCACTCGCGCTTTGGCCGACAGGACCCGGCGGGCCGCTATATCGTGCTCTACACGTTCATGCCGCGCGACGAGAACGACGTATCGGTGGAGCGCGGAGAGTTCGTCACGGTGCTCAACAAGGAGGACCACGAGTGGTTCTGGATCGAGCGCTCCGACGGCCAGGAGGGCTTCGTGCCGTCGGCGTTCGTGTACCCGGCCGACGTGCTGCCTGGCGAGGCGTTCTGGTCGCGCACCACGGCCGATCCGCCCCGGAACAAACGCAGCCCCGGCGGTAAGCTACGGCAACTATATGTAGGCGGTCTCGGCGAAATTATTGTGAGATTTTCTCCAGTGTGTTGAAGAACATCTATTGTACTGTCTAGTTCACCCAATTTATAACCAATTTTATGCCAAGGAAACTATCGTGTCGAGTTTCCGCCAATGCCATAACTGATAGAATCGGAAACGGTGCCGGTGAAACGTTGTCAGGTCAGTGGCACATCAAACATGTTTGATAAATACGAATGCTATATTTCTAAATGGGTGATGTTTATATTTTACAGGCATTTGATACACAATTATCTAAAGAATGACCCAAAACGAAATGCATTGCTTGTCCTAGCCACCATTTGAGTGTAACATTATCGCTATGAGGAGACAATAATTTTACCATGCTGTGCTCATTTGACGCAAGCGGTGTGTCCTGGTAGACTTTGTTTTGCCGTGACCTTTCATCTATTCCCAGCCGAGCCTTCTAAGCCCATCTAACCCAGTGACCTGACCTTTTCAGTTTTCTCTCCACCAGGTGACCTGGGTCCGGGCGGCAGTCCCCCGACGCACCAGCAGTTCCCCTCGTCCCCCGGAGGTCACGGAGGTCACCACATGGGGTCACCGGGTCAGGACGACCCGCGGTTCCACGGCACCGAACTGGTCATGCTCTATGACTACAAGGTGAGTCCTCAGACAACTTTGTTGACAGCGATTGCTTGTGGGGTATAGTGTCATTTTGTCAGCATTTTATGACTGCTTGTCTTTGGCACATGATGTCAGCGCGTCGTTTTAGAAACGGCCAGATAGCGAGTTGTGGATTATAGTTATAGTCACAACTAAAACATTAGCCATTTGGCACTAAAGCCTAAATCCAAACCATGGGTCACTCATGATGACCGGTACCGTTTGTTCCATAAAGATAACAGATCTCCGTGACCCCTTGATGTGACCCCTTCCATCCCCTGCGCGCAGGCCCAGGCCCCTGATGACCTGTCGGTGCGGCGGGGAGACTGGATATACGCCGACCTCAACAACCAGACGGTGGACGGCTGGCTGTGGGCCTACTCACCCAAGTCGCGCAAGCACGGCTTCATCCCCAAGGCGTACGCCCGGCCGCCCGCAATGACGTCACTATGACGTGCTTCAGGACATGAGCCGCCAGTCACGGCGCGTCTTCAGTGGCCAAATGACGTCACTGGGACGGTACGAGGTGTGTTCGGTCAGCTCGGAGAGACTGAAGGGCTAGAGACTGGTGTTAGAGACGGACGTCGGAGACCCGTGCTAGATATTCACGACGGCTGGATGGCGGCTGACAGGCGCCTGAAATACTGTTTAACTGTGTTTATTGTTCGCTGTTTGACTCATGGGTGACCACTGAACGTGCCAACGTAGCAGGACAATCCGGAGGGACGCAGTCTGGGGAGTGGTGGGAACTTCAAGCAAAGTCCTGTGTGCGATGTATGTGAATTGGGTGTAGAGTGAATGTCTTGGAACTATACATTTCGCGGGATGAAGCTGCCATACCAATTATAATGGCCAATGGCGGAACTGGCAGACTTGCGAGACTAAAACGCCGTGGAGAGGTAGGTGTGCTGCGGCCTGAAGAACTCGTCTCCTCATAACTGTTGTGTCTATTTAACGTTTAGGTAGCCGTGACACTTGACCTTTTTAACACGAAACAGCCTACACGTTGTTGCGCCTGCGCTGCCATTGGAACTATGACGCTACAGGTGACGCTATCAGTGAACGTGCATTTTGTCCATCGGTAAAGAACGAGTGACTTCGTATGATCTTCATATCTTCGTATGAGACCTGTTTTATGCCTGCACACTCTGCACATTAAGTTTATCAAATGGCCTGCATGGATGATATTCGTGTGCGTTCGGTACACATGACGTGAATGAATGTGATGTATTGAGCTCTAAATGTAACAGGTAGTACTCTTATGTGCGCCAGGTGCTCATATCTTTTAGCCTTCTTCGAATGTGAACGCTGCCACAGAGCCATTGATGGAATGCTGTTACGAGACTGGCGACCTGAGCAATCACGCCGAGAGAGACGAAAAGTCCGTCCGATCGGTGCATGCGATGCGTTTCAGTAAGTCATTTGCATCTCATGCCCGGGGTCATTCCGCTCTCTGCTTGTGGAAATGAATAAACTTGATGTGTATATAATGAAACAATTTTTAAGGTGTGTAATTAGCGACTGAGATTGAAACGTAACCAAGTTTTGAAGATGATAAAAAACGCGGGAAATTGCATTGGAAACCAGTCATAAGGATTGTTGTACAGACCATTTAACCAGCTACCTACATACCTTGAACATGATAGTTGATTTGTGAGGAAAATAAACTGAAAACGTTCAGTCTTAATTGCCTCAAAATAGAAACATGTCAACATAGGTATGATGGTAAAAGGAAAAAGCGTCAAGCGATGTCTCACAGTTCACACTTCGCGTTTGATGAGAACAAGAGCACGAGCGTGCCAAAAATCAAGCGCCAAGAAAATTGCAAGTGACTTTGGAGTGACATGTGTAAAAGCTTCCTTATTTATTCAATAGTATAGAATGCTTATTATTGATAAACGACATATTTGTCTCGGTTTCTTTGGAACGCTGGCTTTCAAAAGTTTTCAAATGTGATGATAACCAGATGATTCACGTAAAACACAGAAAAGACTTCTGTCATCAGTATGAACCCGGAACCCGGCCTGAAAAGGGAATGAAAGCGATTTCATAGCATATTTCAAACAAGCAAATAACAATATGACGGAGATCTTGTATCGTTGGCTTGACGAGGAGCTACGAATACCTGTTGCGAGGGATGCCGACACATTTCTACAGCAGTTCAGCAATGGTGAGTCAATACCGACAGCCTGTCCAACAAGATACAGTAAACCATTTGTTTTACAGCTATTAAGTCCCTGCTCAAGCCATTTATTTAGCTTCATTTCTTGCTATGCTTGTTGGTCCTTAGATTACCTACCTTCTTCAAACGATGATTATGCCGGTGCCCTATCTGTGGACGTTTTCTTGGGTTACAAACACGACATAAACGTTCTGTGTAACCCATGCCTCATTTGTCTTACTTCCAGGACAACTTATTGGGAAAGTACTGCATGTTGAAGGAGTTCTCCCCGACAAGAAGTTCGACCAGCTTCGTACCAACGATCTGTATGAAGACAGGTATGTAGTCTCGTGCACCACTTGTTCATTGTTACTAAGCCAATTAAATGTTAAATCTAATTAAATGCTAAATTTATACCATGGTATGTACTTTTTCACGAATCGAATCGGCAGTAGCCACTCAAGTGCAGCCGACTCTGGCTCTTTTCTCTCATTGGCTGAGAGAGGACGGTCGACTGACGTCTGTAATATGATCCCGACTGGCGATTGGCTCGGACGCCGTGGGAGCGAGCGATCCCCACCCACGTAACAGGACACCGCCCTCTCATTGGCTGACAGGCGCCGGCGGCGGCCGCCGATTGCCTCGGGGGGAGGGGCCGGGGGAGCGTGGGAAAAAGGCGTGGCATATGTCTCGAGTAAGAGATCGGAAGCGTTTGAAAGATTGGTGCCATGTTTACGGATGGGTGTTGTGGATCACTAAAAGGGACGCATGTCAAGTATGTAACAAAAGGGCACAAGAGATTCTATAGAATAATGCTCCTATCTAGACAAGCATTTCCACATGATGTTGACCGTTCTGTTTTCACAGGCTGCACAACTTCCTTGTGATAGGTCCGTACATGAAGTCGCTGGGAGTCAACCTATCCGTCCGACAAGCCCGAGACATTCTATCCGACAAGCCGGGAAGTCTCACATACCTGATCTATCAGGTGATCAGTTGGTGAAAAATAATTAGCCTAAAACCGTTTAATTTAGGTAAAAAATGCTTTCAATTGATTCAACTGATGCTAATTCAGTTAACGCCTTATTTATCTGGTAATCAGTTGTCAAAGATAGTTAATCTAGTGTCGCTTAATTTAATTGATTCAGTTAGGTAATGCCATTTAATTCAAACTTGGCTCTTACTAATGGCAGTCTCCAAGAGACATTCAAGGCGATAAGTTAACGTTCATCTGTTTCTTTGCTCTTCGTATATAAAGTAGGCATAAAAGTGAATAAAGGAGGCGATAAGCTAGGTACCTATTTAATAAGGTAAAAAGGCATTTATCTTTTATTTCATATTTCATTTCCTTGAAGTGTTCGGGTGTTGTCTATGCTGAATAGGATTCAATAGATGTTCTTCTTTGGGGAACACCCGTATGTGATGCTGTGATTGTGAGCGCAGAGTCAGACAATTATACCAACCAATCTGTCTCCCTCTATCCGTGTGGTATGTCAGGTATATCTTGCGCTGCACAAGCCGAGGGACCACCTGCGGCAGCCGTCACCGGAACCTCTGCCGGACGCCTACAAGGAGCGACTGCGCGAGTCGGCGCGACCTGACCTGCGCGACTCGGGAGTCACCAGCCTGGGACTCACCTGCCAGTGCTACGGGCGAGATGTGACTCAGGTGACAGGGAGACGTGACTCAGGTGACAGGGAGACGTGACTCAGGTGACAGATGTGTTCATGTGGCACTGTTCCAGCTAGCTGCATTTATAGTGGACCGATTATATGAAATAACTTTTTTTCTGCAAAAGACTGCGGAAATAGGTCAATGATTAGTAGATTAAATCGTTTTTATGATTTTAGTGCGATATATTAATTTCTTAAAAATAATTTCCAGACGAGGATCACTGAAGGCCACCTGGTCAAAGAATGTCAACAAAGGATCACGAAGGAGGGAGTGAGGAAGAAGGAGAGGGCGAAGGATATCAAACAACAGATGACAGAGGAATACATGAAAGGTGAGTGACTAGATTTTCAAACATACACCAGCCTTTTCGCTATAAAACGTCTCCGGGACCAGCGTACGTCTATCACAATGCACTTCCTCTCGGTCAGCCCATTTCAGCCCACTGACCGTGTCTCGCTGCCCCCTCCCCCTCCCCAGGAGACTCGGCGAAGCTGTGGGGCCGCTCGTTCCGCAGTACAGTCCGCTCAGCCGCCCGCCGGGAGAAGGACAGACAGAAGGCCGAGGCGGCCGCCGTGCGACAGCAGATCGAGCACTTTGACAACACGGCCGACCTGCGCCGCAGCAAGTACGAGGACGTCCGAAATGCCGAGTTTCTGCAGGTCAGCACGCCAGAGTGAACTCGATGGGCCATAGTTTAACAGTTAAGAGTGAAGACTGAAAGAGGAACCGAAGCAAATTTTAAGACACTTTTTATCTCGTCCGGAAAATAAAACAGCGAAGTTTACTCAAATTGACATAATGAGATAATAAAGTTTTATAAATGAATTGATTTTTTATGCGCATTCTTCACACCATTTCAGACAACTGTCACCCCGGACATGATTCCCGAGGCTCTGGTGAACACCGAGGCCAACCAGCAGTTCGTGCACAAGCTGCGTAACCAGCTAGATCGCGACACGCGGGCGCGATTCGACCGCGAGAAGCGGCGGAAGCAGATGTACCTGGCTCTGCGGGACCAGCAGCGGCAGCAGGAGGAGGAGCAGCGCGAGCTGGACCTGGTGCGGCGACTCCTGCGCCAGGGCGACTACGAGCTCCGGCTGGCCGCTCACCTGACCGACATCAAACGCCAGAAACAGATCATCATCAGAAACCGGCTCGAGAAGGACCAACAAATGCAGGTGAGGGTTGACTGTGAATGGATGCGAAGATTTGCTGAGACTATAGAAATTTATAAATTTTATCGTTTTATTTGCATTACGGGAAATACTATCGCCATGCTGACAAGGGATGACAAAGTCACAAATCCGATCACATTGACTTCATGCGCCCTCTTCAACGAGGTTCGCAAATGCCTCCTCCAATCGGTGTCGATGTTCATCATCCACTGCCACGTACTTCAGGTTCTGCAGCACATGCTGCCGCTCCTCTGGGTATTTGTAGAACGCCTCCCTGCAGAACTGTACTGTCTCTCCCAGCACCTGTGGCCACGGGGTCGGCTCGAAGTCGAGCTCGTGGCGGGCGCGGGCGATGGACACGGGGCCGCGGGTGACCGAGGGTAGCGTATCGTCCACCGACGGCAGGAGACCGTGCCGCGCCGGGTCGTCAGTCAGCTCAGTCAGAGAGTGTGTGAGCCCTCCGAGCTCAGTGGCGATTTCCTTCAGCAGCTCCGGCAGGGTGAAGTCCCGTCCCAGAGATAGGTTGAAGGCACCCGAGGGTGGTTTACCCGCGCTCACCACCTCCATAACTCGACGCACGGCGCGAGCCACGTCCGGGGCGAACACGTAGCTGGTGGTGCGGCCTGCGACTGCCGCAGACACCGGCACCGGTCGGCCGACCAGAGGTGCGTGCTGTAACCACGCCTGGTGCACCCACCAGCGTCGCGAGGTGTCCCTGGGTCCCAGCACGTCCGGCAGACGCAGTGCCGTGTACGGCACGCCGGCCGCCTCCAGCGCCTCCTCCACCGCCAGCTTACCGTCTCCGTACGGGTTGGCGTCCGCCAGCCGGGCGCGCTCGGCCGGGTCCTCCGGCCGGCGAGCATCCTCCTCCACACTGGGCCCCCCTCCGGTGGACGGCGAGCTTACCTCGTACACAGAGTCGGAGCTGATGTAGACGTAGTGGCCGAACCTGCCGTCTAGGGTAGTCAGGAGATTGGTGACGTCGGACGCGCGGTAGGCGCAGAAGTCTATGACGAAGTCCCAGCGACCGCGCAGGGTCGTCTCGGTTTCCAGCTCGGTGAGTGACCCTCTTCGGTCGCAGCGGATGTGGTTTACGTGAGGGTCTATTCGTTGAGCTGAGTCGAAGTAGACGGTGCCTCGATTCAGCAGAGTGAGGTCGAAGGTGCCCTCGGAGATCAAAAGTGACGCTGTCTCGCCTCCCATTAGGCCGTTGCCTCCCACCATCAGCACACTTTGCTTCGGTGACATTTTGGAACGCACTGTTTCAGGCACTGGAAACGTCAGGTGTTCTTTTGCTTTGCATGTGGGTGACCGGTTTGGCGAAGACGACGATGCCGATCAGGCGACGCAGACACTGAAAAAGAAAATGGACCTGCTTGTGTTTAGACTGATCGTAATCCGTTCTTGATTATTTATTACCTATATCAATCTAGGAAACGCTAGCTACGTAATAAAATAAATAGCAGTAGTGCACAAATTACCATGAAACGAGCATTACCAATAACAAGTAGTACCTATATAAACATAAACACCACTTAAAAATGAGAAAATGGTTGTCGAAATAAACTTACCGCTCAAAATCCCTTCAGCCAGCGCACGCGCCACGCACAGTTTAACGACCACCGCTGCCCTGTCGTCGATATACTAACCGTCTGAGCAGTCCAGACCGTCCCTCATGCCTCGTGGACAGAGTTCAAGGCCGACCGGGCACGACGAGACTCGAAACATAACACAGGCGCGCATGGCTGGAGATGCAAAATCGCCACCAAGAAACAGGCTCGCATAGCTGGCTGAAGTCGTGGTAGACGAGGTTTTGATCATTTTTTTCGGATCAGGGATACTTGATGCTATAACTTCACGGCTGTATTGTGAAATGAATAAGAAAGTTCGTATAAAAACACTAACTTATCGACGACAACACAACAAAATGTAGCCACCATTGAAAGCACATTTGTTTTACGACCCCATCTCACGGCACCGTATAAACAGCCCTGTTCTGTTCGGCCCCATGTCAATATCATACAAGCATCGCTTCTTTTCCACATGATGTCAGATCACCGTAAGTGACACATGATGATCTTCCCCCTTCCACATGTCATTTCTATTTATTTGACGTATGACAATGAAAAACCATGTATACATGTGGATTTGTCATGAAATACAATCTGATCTGTTTCTGATAAGTGGCGCGCATTTCACGATCCCTTTATCACCCCCATGCTCACTCTCCCGGTTCCAGGAGCGGCGTCAGGAAGAGTACGAGCGGTCCGTGCAGCAGCAGATGGACCTGCTCGGCCAGAAGCGGATGGAGCACCAGGAGGAGCTGCTCAAGGAGTCGCAGCTGCACCGGCGCCTGCTGCAGCAGCGCCGAGACCAGAAAAGTCAGCGGCGCTGGCAGCTGGCCGCCGACGTCGTCACATTCTGTCTCGATATGGCCGTGCTCACAGTCGACTACAAGAATAAGTCGGGAGACAAGTGGGTGCTGAGTGATTGAAACTCAAAATGTGTAAGCGGTGGGTGCCGGGAGAAGTAATCGTAAAAGGAATTTGAATGGGCAGAAACGATCGTCATAAGAGGAGATGTAAATATGACGCTATAATAACTAGCCACTGTCTCACAATTCACTGCGGATGTCTGGATGATCTGATTGTTTTGTGGAACCATATGCTCTCTCCGTTCCAGGGAGGTCCCCGCTCTCCTGCAGAACGACTGGCGGGAGCTGTTTCTGCGCGGTGAGTCGCTGTCCGGCGGCAGAGAGCCGGCCGAGCTGAGCGCCACCAGTGCTCCCGGAGAGAGGCAGCAGGCGCTTCTGCAGCAGCACGACCTGGACGACTACCTGGCCGTCAGCGGGCGGTGGATCATCCCCGGCGCCAGCGGCAAGAAGCGCAGTCCCAGCGCCCAGGCGCGCGACGACATGGCACTGCGAGTCGAGTCGGCCGTGGTGACTGGGTTCGTGGTGCACCGGCTGTTGCGCCTCGTGTACCACCCAAACCGAGCGTCCAGGCCCCTGAACGGCCGACATTTACCCTAATGGGAGTGGTGATGGGCAAGAGCTACGCCGGCAAGACGCACTGCCTGCAGTGGGTACAGTCCTCGCTGGATGTGCGGCACATTGTGATGCACGACCTGGTGAAGCGCTCGCTGGCGACGTTAGAGCAGGAGACGCGGATGGAGCTGGAGGCGGCAGGCTCAGGCGTGATGGAGACACTGCGAATAGCCGACATCCTCGGACCTGACCAGAGCTGCGAGGACATGCAGAGGGAGAACTCTGGACAGCCGTCACAGCAGCAGCAGCCGCCACAGGATGCTGCAGCTGATGCGCCCGAAGGCGAAGAACAGGAGGTGAGACCAGCCAGCGACGTAACAGCAGGATCTGATGGTTTGCCGACATCGACCGACGCTTCCCGGGAGAATTCGTCCGGAGAAAAGCCAGCTGTTCAACAGGCTGAAGGGTCTCAGACAAAGCTGAAGGACGCCAAGAGCAAGGAAAGCACACAGGGCTCAGGAAAATCCGGAGATGCAGCCAACTCAGCTGATTCTAAGAAGTCGTCTTACTCAAATGGCGCAGAGTCCACAGAGGTGCAAAAACAAACCGGTGACGCTGAGAACGGTACCGGAAAGTCATCCGCTCAGACCAGTGGAGGCCCCACCGAACCGGGCACTCCCCCATCCAGTGCCGATCAGCCAGCATCACCATCTACCAAGGACATTACCTCTGGCGAGCAGGACAAGTCGAAGCTGTCGACGGATGGCGAGGGTGTCAGTGACGAGGACACCAACTCGGCATCCGAGGACACGGTCGTGTTCGAGTACAGCCGACTGGCGCAGCTGGGACGAGAGGTCAAACAGGCTCTGGAGTGCGGCCAGGAGGTGCACGACCAGACGCTGGCCGGTCTGCTGCTGGAGGCCTGGCGCGAGCTGCCTGACGGATCCGGCTGGATCATCGAGGGCTTCCCCAACACGCTGGCGCAGGCAGAACTGCTGGAGGAGCAGCTGGTCGGCAAGCAGTACGACTCGGATGAGGAACTAGACGAGGTGGAGATCGTTGTGACGCCGCTGCCAAAACCTGAGCCTCCTGCGGAACCTGCCACCAAGGAAAAAGGAAAGAAGGAAAAGAAAGAAAAGAAGAGAAGGGTAGCGGAAAGAAAGACAAGAAGGATAAGAAGGAAGGACAGCCACCAGCGGAGACGCCGCCTCCCTCACCGCCACCACCACCTCCTGAGCCCGTGCGACTGAGGGTGAAGCCGTTCCGACGCAGCCAGCTGGTGCCTGACGCCAACCGCCGGGAGCGACCGCCGCCGACCAGCGGCCTGGACCTGGTGGTAGAGCTCGCCGTCAGTGACGAGGTGGCCGCAGCAGCGGCGCTGTCAGAGCATCGACCGGGTGCCCGAGCAGCCCGACTCGGGCACCTGCCAGTCGGCCAGCGACGACCACGTCACGCTGGCCGGCAAGCTGTTCAGCTACGGCCGACTCCGCGAGCCGCTGATCGAGTTCTACAGCGAGCGGGGCGTGTACCACACGGTGGACGCCGAGGACCTGGCCTCGGTGGAGACGCAGCTGGAGAAGCTGATCGGCGCCAGCCGGGCCAAACAGCGCGAGGAGCACCGTCTGGCCGAGCGGCGCGCCGCCCAGCTGGCAGCCGCAGAGAACGAGCCGGACTCTGAGCCCGAGCCGGAACCGGAGCCGGAGCCGAGCCAGACTCCGGGAAGGGAAGAGGCAAGGGCAAGTCGCCCAAGGGCGGGAAGAACAGCGGCGACAAGGGGAAGAAGGGTAAAGGAAAGGGTAAAGGTGACTCCGAACCGGCGCCGCCAGCAGCGGAGGACCTGCCGCAGATTCCGGCACCACCGCCCATGCCGACCCGGGCGAGATGGGCTACTACTTCGTGGATGCACCGGTACCGGAGGGCGTCGCACAAGTGAGTTTTGAAACTCGTTCGTCCATTCTTTCTATATTACTTCTGCAGCTTTAATTCTTCTGGTGCATTACCTGTCGATTCACGCACAAATGGCAGTTGCTCTATAGCCCTATAACAATGTGTTTATAGAACATCATTTCATTTGGGACCATTTGGAACGTTTATTCTGATTTTCAGTACCTGGCATTACTCTGGCAACAAACTGAAAGGAATTACACCGAGAACCTGAAGCAGTGGCTGGGGCGGCTGAGGCTCGAGCATGCCGCCGTGATCCAACACCTGCATGCCATCACGGTATCGTTCACGCCTTCCTGCTGCGTCCGGATCACAAACAGCAGTTCCTCGACAGGTGAGGCCCAACTCAGCAGGCTGCTGCTAATGCGTCATCCTTCTTGTCAGGTTAAACATTAATGATATCATCAGCTATGACCAGCCAATGAACCAACTGAGTATCTCGGCCTGTAACATTTCTTCTCCTCAGGTTTGTGACTGAGTATAACCAGATGAAGGAAGCGCTGCAGAGAGACGAGGAGGTCAAGTGCGAGTGGCACTGCGCATCCAGGAGCTGGAGAGCACCATCTGGAACATCACCGACACTCGCGCTGCGAGGCCGAGCAGGAGCGCTACACAGCCATGACCTCCGGCTGGATCGAGGACAGGTGCGCTCGAAACGACCGGCACGCTGGGATAGGCCATGCAACTTTCCTTTGTACTGTCTTATCATAAGGTTTCTCGATTTACAGCTATGTTGATATGCGCATGCGAATGTTATTATACGATACGACGGTAACGAGCTGACGACCACTGCCACCAGGCTGGCGCTGTCGGCCAACAACTGGCTGATGGTGATGCAGAGTGAGATGGACCGCTTCCAGGACACTTGCATGGTACTGGAGGACTACTACGTCAGCATGAGCGGCGCGCAGCTCCCTGAGAGCAGCGGACGCGTGCATGGATTCAAGCAAGGTTAGCGTACGATAAACATTTATCGTACCTCAGGTGAAAGTCTTTGACCTTAGCTTATACGAATACGAATCACACGAATTAGACACTACATACATTTTGTGCAATTTATTGTGCTTCTCAAATAAGCAGAATTTCAAATGCTGAAATTTCGTCAATCGTGAGGTGCTCATCAAATCACCGAACGCCCATCCCGTCTGTCTTTCTCAGCGATGATCGAGATTCCAAGCCGGGAGCCGGCGGACCGGTCGGGTGCCTCGTCTGCCGGCAGTGACCGTCACTCAGGGAGCCGCAGCAGCAGCTCCGCCCGGCCGCTGCGCCGCGGAGGGGGCGGCAAGGGAGCGGACGGGCCAGGCAGCTCCGGCAGCGCCATCCTGACCACCATCAACCTGCCCCAGCTGCGGCCCCGGTGGCAGTTCGTCAGGGGCAAGAACCAGGCGGACGAGGTGACCACAGCCGTGGAGGGCGTCATCGACTCGGCCTGCAGGTCCATGCTGTCGTTTGTGCACGATACTAAGGAAAAAGGTGATGTGAGGGTGAGGCAAGCGCTGCTGCGGTTGAAGAATCCCCAGGGGGCAAGAAGGGAGCCAAGAAGCCTCCCGCGTCGAAGGCGAAGAGTGGTAAGAAGGGCGCCGCTCCAGAGGAAGACGCTGCCGAGGCCGAGCTAGCCACGCACCACGAATGGGCCGAGCGCGCGCTGGCCGAGTTCCAGGTGGCCGCCCGTGAGGAGTCGTCCCGGGTCTCTGCCCGTCTGTCGCTGATCCGCTCGCGGGCTGTGTCGGAGCTAGCGGCGCTGCGGCAGCGAGCCGTGGCCGCCTTCCACGGTATGTGGTCGGCCATTGAGGAGCGGTATCGGCGCGAACTGCAGGCGGCCACCCACATGGCCGACTACCTGCGCGGGCTGGTGGAGCAGGAGCAGCGCGCCCACTACCAGCTGCTGCTCGACCAGGACCGGTTCCTGGTGCGCACCGGCGTGCTGACCCACCTGCCCTGCCTGCCGGCCAGCCCGCCGCCCACCGAGGAGGCGCTGGTGCGCGACCGACTCAGCCTGCTGCAGGCGGCCGGCCTGTGGCGCCAGCACACCGCCGCGCCGTCCGGCATCATCACCACCCGCGCCTTCTGCTTCATCCTGCAGGACCTGGTGGCGTGCGGCGTCGGAACCCAGGAGCTGCCCGCACTCTGGATGTCGCTCTCGCAGGAGGAGATCGAGAGCCTGTCGGCGCGGATAGCGGCAGGAGCAGAGGTGAGCACGCGGTGGGGTGGCCGAAATGTTATTGTTTATCCTTTCACCGCTTCATTGCTGCCTATGAAACGGTATAAATTAAATTTGAGGGAAGACGGCAGGAAGGAGCTGCACCGACGCATGTCAATTTCCAACCAGCCCTCAACCAACCAGGAAGGATACAAAGCACCAGGACTGACCGTGTAAAATGTGCACCTGGTTTCAGGTGATGAGCTGGCGCGGCCTGCTGTACGACCTGCTGGAGCCGTGGAGTCGGCCCGACCAGTTCGATCTCCACGAGGCACTGGCCATCGCTCACGTGTTTGACCCACAGCGGAGTGGACGGATCACACAGGAACAGGCGCTCACGGTATGTCTGGGAGAAGATTTTGGTACGAATAAATTCAATCTGGCATAAACGTGTGCTAACACAAAATATGATTAACAGCTGGAGCCTTTCACCTACGGAAGACGTAAGTCCTTCTCTTAGCATCCGATATTTACTTTCTAATCTGTACCGACAAGATAAACTAACGAGTTTTGGAACCTTTTATACTCGAGATTGTGAGCTCGACCGTCAATCCAGGGATCTAAACGTTGTGTCTCTGTCAAATGCGTCACAGGTGGTCCACTGGATGAAGCCGCGTCTGGAGGAGCTGGACGAGGCCTATAACCGGCCGTACCACACCAAACGGCTTTCTGGTGGACATCAGCGGCGCGCCCAGCGACCGAGACGGTCGACTACCAGACGCTGCTCACCTGGCTCTGCCGCAGCGACGACCTCCTCAGAGCTTCCTCTGCGCGCTCACCGTGCTGGAAGGTAGCGGGCGCGAGTGGTTATCGCTCAACAATAGCGTAAATTTTTTTATTTGATGTCCTATAACAGCAGTTTATTTTAACGATATTGCCGTAACGCCGGACGTCCACTACTATGTCTGTTTGTTCGGTGTTACCGTGACTTCGTTCCAGCACTTAGCAGACCTATGTAATTACGTTACAGATAAGCCGATTTTCATATCGAACCCGGAGGACGACGAGAAGTACTATCCAAGGAAGAGGGTAGACCTCGCCCGAATCCAGTCACTGCCCATGCACAGAATCGTATCGTCTCCCCGGCCCGATAATCGCCCCAGGTCGGTAGAAATGTTATTGGGCTTTTCTGACACGTGTAACCGCATCATGAATCTCTTGTTACAGTGACATTGTTTGCATTCTAGCGTCTGTGATCATGATGATGCTTGTTGCAATTCTCACTCATTGCATAGAGATCTTGGTTTACCCAAACAAGCTTGTTATCTCTTCTCCTACCCTCTCTCTCTCTCTCTCTCTCTCTCTCTCTCTCTCCTCTCTCTCTCTCTCTCTCTCTCCACCCGTCATCAGGAAAGTGCGTCTGACCCAGAGCGCGCCTCTGCACGTGACGAAGGATGCTGATGATGGGTGGCTGGAGGACACGCCGAAGGAGGTGGTACTCCAGGCCACGTGCTCCAACGCCTACCACCTGCAGGACGCCATGGACATGAGCCGACCGGTAGCGCGCTCGGGTTGTTCATAAGCGGGACTCTAATTGTTTGGATAAAAGCTGCGGAGGATGAAAGAAGTTATACATCGTTAGCACAAATACCTTGCCATTTCATATGTATGCAAGTTATTTCTAGCATACTCATTCATCCTGGGTCAAGTGAAATTCGACACTCGACATGGTGTTGAGTCACCGTCCCAGGGGGGAGAGTGTGAGTTGACTCCACACAAAGCCAATGGCCGCATAGAGGGTTACGTAAAGCGCAAATCAACTGAATAAAATAGCAGAAACTGCATTTTCTCACAAGACATTACAACCACCATCCCTGAAGACTGCAGCATCGCACATGCATTTAGCACCCATATCGATCATCAAAAAGTGCCAGGGAGACTGCAATATCGCATGTGCCCATAAACACCCCATCAGCAGCTATGGAGACTGCAACCTCACAAGACAGAACACACCAAAGACCTGCAATGTCGCACAGGCACATAACACTAGTATATAAAAGGGGGCTCTCCATAGTGGGAACTGTAGTGCTACACATTGCAATACGTTCTAACGATATTTCAAAGACCGGCACGTTACATGAGAAGAAACCGTCAAAAACTGAAACGCTTGCATGCGTCACTACCACCAAACCCAAAAGAAACTAAGAACGGCATCATTGTAGGAAATTAGGAATCCTTTTCACCTTACGTTATGTCCCACAGCCGTCTCAGATGGTGGGCGACTCCCACGGCGACCACCTGGGCGACTCCCTGGAGCAGCTCCCCGTGGCCCCCAACTCCGCGGAGCGAGCGCCGCCGCCGGGCAGCACCTCCACTCAGCGCAGCTCCTCGGACCGGGAGGGCAGCCTGGTCAGCCTCCGGAGCGCCGCCAGCAGCTCTGGGGCGCACAGCCGCGGCGACACACACACCTCCGCGCCGGCCGTGGAGTCCGGTCAGTGAGCGGGTCGGAACAGGGGTGATGGTGTGACATTCTGGTCCGGTGTGTGGATTATGAGACTTCGGTATCGGTACTTCAAGAATGATTATTTATGTCTTTTTTTATAAATTCTGTCCGAGCCTTTTGAATGGAAGGATTCACAGGGATAGAGCCCCGGCTAAACAAAACTTGTTGTGCTCCCTTGGGAGTAGCGGTGCCGCTCCAAGGGAGCAGCCTACGAGTACATGAGATAAAGTTGTCTGTCCAGCCCGGGCGAGGGTTGCGGCGTGGAGGAGAAGGATTTGAACATCCTGAGAATGGAAACGACGGACGTGTTATATTCCCTCCCATCGCGCAGTTCCTGATCTATGACAGAATTTGGAGTTAAAAGTTGAGCGTACGCACACAGCCGCGCACGGTCTTTTTAGACGTTCTGTTAAAAAGAGCCCCGTTCCGACCGGCAGTAGACAGCGGTCGGGTCCCAGCTGCTCGACGAGCTGACCATCAGCGTCCCCGCCGGCCACACTCTGGACTCGTGGACGGCTCTGGCGCCCTCCTGCTGCACTCACCCGCCCGAGGTGCCGCCCACCACACCCAGCTCGGACGTGAGTCGAGGTCACGATGTCGAATGTGCAGCTCGGACGATTATAAAAGTTATCGACTTATGACTGAAAAATGATTCCATTATATTTCAACAGAGTTTAGAACTTGTATACGCAAATAATAAACTTATATCGCATGACGTCAAGTGCAAATGGTCGATACGTCTGATCAATACCGTCATCGTCAACAAAGGAGTATCGATTGATGACTAAGCGAATTCACTTCTTTGAAAGATGCACTATGCAGCAAGAGACAAATTATTGTGGTTGTCACGCTCTCTATGTCAATTGCTCCACGAGTACCAGTTTTCGACCACCAAGAGGGCATTTGAAACTCGACTCTCTTTTCGGCAGGGTCGAGCGGGCGAGACAGGCAACAGGAGCACCCTGAATGCCATCAGGACGGTGCTGGCCAGGACCATGGTGCTGCCCAAGGAGCTGATGCCCCAGGCTCTTCAGAGACTGGACGTGAGTTTCGAGACGGTTGGAAAACGGCTGGCAACGGGACAGGGGTGGACGTTGATAGTCTCGATAGGCTTTCGGTGCAGATAGTGCCCGTGCCGACAGGTGAAGCCTGAATATTAGGGCACTTGTTTAAGAGGGTCACTTGTCAGCACAGTCCGTAGGTTCAAAAGGTCACGGGACGTTGAAGTGGGGCCGCAGGTGAACTCACTATAAATCGTCACTACAATGTTATCCAGACAGGCATTATCTAATTGTTGAGGCCGCTCGAACACCCTTAGTGCTCGACGCAAATAAGCCAATCCTGTAGCATAGGTACAGGGTGTCCCGAAATTGATGCGCGGTTGTTCCTCAATAACTTATAAAGTGCTCGAATTTATTTCACGGCTTACATGTTATCATAGTCCCCATTCAGTTGCATACACGGCCTATTGCACTCTAGCGTGTCACGTTTCAGGTTGTCAAGAGTCTCTCCTTTGAAACAACGCCATGCCGTTTATATCTTCTGAAACAGCCTCTTCCCTGAGCTAGCCCGTGGAAGCTTGCTGAGCTCTTTTCTGACGATCGTCCAGATAATTTGGATCGGGGACAGGTCCAGACTGTTGCCAAACCATGTCCCCTTCTCCCAGAGACCTGGGAGCCTCGCTCGGCACCAGTCCTGGGTCTTCCTGGCGTGATAAGCTGGAGCCCTTTCTTGCTGGAAAATGGCCCTGGACATGTCCGACAAAAGTTTGAGTCTGGTTTTTGAACCATTTACCCTTTCCCTCAGCATCTTTGTGGCATCAGTCTTCTTCAGCACCTCGTTGACATAGTAATAAGCAGTCACGGTCTGTCCCCGAGGCACCTCGTGAAGCTCAGAGCGCCTCTGTAGCTCATCATGCTCCAAATGAGATTCTTCAGCAGACGTTTCACCGTCTCGACAGCGGACTCCTCAGAGCTGCCGTTAGCCCACATTTCGATCGTTCTGGCAGTTAGGGGCTTAGAGACCACAAAGGGCACCTTGTCACTGAAAAGGACGCATCTCCAGTCCTGAATGGTCCAGTTTTTGTGGGTCTTGGCGAAATCCAGCTGCCTGCACTTCTGGACCACGGTAGGCCAAGTCTGCATCCTGAAGCTGAGCAGCTTCAGCTTCAAGTTAGTCTTAAAATACTGGTGGAGGGTCGATTTGGATGCTGGGACATGCATCTCATTCAGTTTTCTTGTCAGCGATGTTGAATGGTGCTTTTTAAAGGTCGACTTTGCAATCACGATTTTCGCCACTCGGCTCAAGGCAGTCTTCCGCCCTCGAACTGTGCTGTTCTTGAGTGTCTCTCCTGATCGTTTGCAGTCCATCCAAAGTTTAATTGTCGCAGAGTTGACGCCCAATTCTCTGGCATCCGGAACCTGGGTCATACCGTCCTTGATCATCCCCACCGCGCGGTAGCGGATCGGTAGTTTGTGCCCTTTCACTTTTGGTGATATGCGGTTTCTCCACGTTGCCTGTCTGGACAAGAGTGGCCTCCCGCGCCCACTACCGGCCGCGGTCGGGTTAGCCGCTTGGTTCACGTGATCGTGTGACCAGCAAGATGTCAGTGGTGCCAGAGCCGGTAAAATTGCAGTTGTTCAGCACTCGGGAGGGACAACATAACATGCGGCACCAACCGCGCATCAATTTCGGGACACCCTGTATATCCCGCCGATCTATAGAGACGAGTGTAGACCGTCTGCTGACCGTCCTGGCCCCGCCGTCTGGCCGCAGCTGGACCTGGCTCTGGTGTACCGGGACCTGTACGGAGGCACCTGCGGCCGCGCCGTCGAGGCGCTGCGCCGCGACGAGCCGCTGCCGGTGCCCATCCTGGCCGTGTTCCAGCACGACATCACCCAGAGATACCTGGCGCCCGGACAGTGCACCCTGCTGGCCGGCCGGCCCTGGCAGATCATCAAGGACATCCGCAGCCCGCCGCCTCAGACCCCGCCGCCACCGGCCGTTACACAGGCCGCCTCGGTCACCGGCACCGGCACCTCACTGTCCTTCAAAGAGGCCGCCTAGCGCCAGCTGCCATCGCGGGGCTGACCAAAGATATCAGTGCGGGTTATGTCTACCCGGTACCTTGCGGGCATCTGGCCCAGTGGCTATTAATTTTCATGTCGTTTGTATTGTAAACCCGAATTGTTCGTTCAACGTTAAAGAATACAAATTATTTTCAATTATTTTAGCCGTCTTTCTCCTCGAACGTCAGCACTTAGCAGCATAAGCGCAGATATTGCAGCATACCAATACAAGCTGACCATCTGGAAACCGTTGGTTGGAAGCTAATTGATTGAAAAATTAAGATTGAAAATGGATTAGCTGGCTGCGCTGGCTGGAATGCTTTGCAAATGCGACGTGCTAAGCGAAGGGAAAAATGTAAAGGGAATCATTTGGTAGAGATCTGGCAGCTTCTATGTTGTGACGAGTCTGATACAAATCTTGCGCAGCCTCATTCAATGGCCAATGCCGGCCAATGCCCTATTCAAAGTGATTCAAAGCGTTGTCAAAGCGCGCAAAGCAGGCATTTTAATAAAATCATTTATTCCTTTCTAATAGATTCAGCACATCAGAAGTCGGTTCCTCGATATACCTCAAGTACCGGTAGATACGGCCTTGCAAACATCTGCTCACGCCTCACGCGACTTGAACTCATCCCAAGGTCGTGTTCTCTGTCGACTGTTTTGATACAATTTTTCTTTGAATTAATATTGAAACACAATTGGAAACTGTTTAAACAAGGTAGGTAATTAAATATGGATGAATGGGGCAGATCAGACGGTATATGTCAAGTTTAGGTCCTAACTACAATTGTGGCGCTTTTGATACGAATATGAAACAGCAAAAATTTTAGGTTTTAGGTTAGGTTAGGTTGTAGGTTTGTAGGTTTTAGGTTGTAGGTAGGTAGGTTTGTAGGTTAGGTTAGGTTAGGGTAGGTTTGTAGGTTGTAGGTTGTTAGGTTATAGGTAAGTAGGTAAGGTTAGGTCAGGTTTGATTATGTTTTTTCCTTTTATTTGCGAGACATATGAGTATCATTTTTGGATTCAGGATGTCAAATAATGTAAAAATATGAAAAATTTATCAGTGAAATCTTCTTAGGACTTAAACTTGACATTTACCGATCAGACTGCTTCAGACTGAGACTGCTTCGGCTTTGATGGGTGCACTCGAGACCAGCCGCTGGTTATGCTGAACCTAAGCTTCCAAAGTCCAAATTGAATTATTTTGATTAAATAGGAATTTTCTGATCTATTGCAGGAGATGCCAGGCCTGTGTGACAAGCTTCATTGGCATGCGAGCAGTCAATTCACAAATTAGTTCAAGTTAGTGTCTCAATTGTTCAAACTTAATTTAGTAAATCCATGGAAAATAATGATTAGTTCCTATATTAAATAAGACATGATTGTGGTATGATGCATGAATATGCATTCCAAATCGTCAGTTGTGAATAGAAATCATACAAAAAACTAAACAGGCATTTTTATGCTTTTGATGCAAACATTTAACATTCCGCGACTCTTTTCAGTTCTTACCTGACTTTGATATACATACCTACCTCATACCTCTCTGTTTGACATGTGATAACTTTTTATTGCCATTTAGGTGAACTGCATGGATTTTCACTAAGGGAAGATAATTGTAATTTTGTGTTGCTGATCTTGTTGCAGTTTATTGTGAACAATCTTAATATAACAGGTGTAAATCTTAGACTTGCATGCATACAATATATCAAATGCCACCTCTTTTCCAGCTAAGAGATGAGAAAATCAGTTTCAAGTGATCATGTGGTTAGCAGCCTGGGTGCAGCTCATTGGTAAGTGACTTTACCTGTCTGTTATTTTAATGTTGACTTGTTGAGGGATGTTTACAAGCTTAAAGCACTGATTTTCATGCTCACTAAGAAATATACCTACATCAACCTTGTCTTGTTAACTTGCAAACAAGTGTTCTTTGCTATTCGTGCCAACTTGATATTGAGCTTTTTTTCTTTACTTTTGATGGTCAAAATTGGTGTTGCCAATCAAATGTAGGTAATATGCAATGATTTTATTCAAATATGTGTTTGTGTAATGCCTTATTGAGTTCTGACTGTATTGTGACAATAAATAACATATTGCAAATTTGCAACATCTTTTTCAGGGCAACAGGTTTTCTGGCCTTGGGAAAAGCCCTGTTTGTCTTTGGAATAATTTCTCTTTATTCCTCTCTTCTTGGTCTTCCAATTCTTCAAGTGCTCTTCACCACAAAATCTGTGTGAGTTGTGACATTTTCTTCTTGCTTTACTACTTTATGGTACAAAAATAAGTGATATAAAAATAAATACCTACCTGCTAACCAGTAAGCTTAGGAAGAAAGAAAGTAATTATCTAGGTAAAGACAGATTGAAACCATTGTATTGTAATATTTTACCTCTATAGGACCAGAAATTCACTACCTATCAAAGCAATAGTAAGTTTTATATGTCATCATACCCAAATATTAGGATTTTTCTAGCATGCAGTCAATAATATGATAAACTCAACTCATCATCCCCATGCAGAGAACTATGCTAAACATTTGTTTGTTTTTGCAGAGCGGCCGTGTGCCTGGTGGCCATTCAGAAGCCATTCGCCGGTCAGCCGCTGAGCCGATCTCTTCAGATCAGAATCGTTCGGAGATGTGTGGCAGGTACGCTTCTTTGTCGTCTGCTACCGCCCACCCCTCTGCTGCATAGTTTGGAACCCTTTCCTCCCGTCTCAAAGCGGTTGCTCGGTCGTATTTTGCCGAGAAGAGAGCAAGGCTAGATCTGCTGTTCATGAAAAAGGATTCTCGGCCGTTTTCGGTTCTCTCGCCAGTCACCAGTTACGACGGAAGCTTGATATTTTGCTTCAAGGCTGCTTTTGGCTGCACTCATTTGCATGTTGTTCATTTTTCTCCTAAGATGTAACACAAGAGAAGTTGAGTAGGGAAATGTCAGTACAATCATTATGTCGTTGTGCCTCTCAAACATCCATTCACACGTGTCTTCAGTGGCCAAATAATCGTTTCCAGGTATCGGCCTCTCCATACTGTGGCTGTACGGCCTGACGCTGTGCGGACCGCTGAGAACCGTGCTCCTGTACGGACAGCTCGACGCCGTTCCCGTGGCCGTCCTGGTCACCATATTCTCAGGTGAGTGACAATATGCTTCATTCTGCTATGGGTTAACTTGGTTAGTTCAATTTCAGTGTTCACTGTACTGTCCTATTTATCATAACATGAGGAGGTTGATCTTGTAAACCTACTAGGACAGACTTACAGTATTTTACCACCCGATGACAGTTAATTCTGTATAACCCCCGTCTCCCTCGCCCCTCCGACAGGTAACCGCACGCCATCGCGGGTGCGCGGAGCCGTGTTTTTCGTCCTGGCCGTGCTGGCGCTGCTGCTCTTTGACAATGACGTGTCGGACGTGCCGGACGGCTCCGGCCAGAGGGTCGGTCTGCCGCTGCTGGCCTCGCACCTGCTGGGCACGCTGGCCGTCGCCGATCACAAGGTACTAACCTGATACATACATATGCCCCTCTGACCAGGTGCAGATGTGGCTTGGTTGACAGGCTGTCGTGCTGTATCGGGTACGTGAATGGTTTCTAGATTGACTTCTCGAGAGTGCGCTAGCAAGAGAATGTTATCGGTACGCTCGATTGACGCTAACCACAATGAATGCTTTCAGTACGTTAGTATGTGCAGTTTTTTTTTAGAGATGAATTAATTGATTTGGCTTTGACTTTGAAGGATTTCAGGAAGTGACACCTCTTCGTGAGGCCTGTAGCTCCCATGCGTAGTTATGTTTTGAATAGTACATATGTTTGGCTCAGTCCGGACTTGCGTCTATGCTGAATATCAGTGAAAAGCCACGTGGTATTTGAGTTGTACACATCCGTCCTGCCTCTCGTGACACGGTAATATTTAGCAATTTGAAGGCTTTTGTGAGACCAATTGCCCTGTGCATTCATGCTTCGGTGTTTCGGATACCGTATCTTGATCTTGCGACACTGCGCTTTTAGTTGTCGCTCGCTGCCACAGTTCATTAGCTGCACTGTGCCCTCATCACCCCTCAACCCACCCCTTCCCAGGGAGGTGTGGTGTTATTGCTGCTCTGCGTGGCGCTGCGAATCACCTACAATAACGCCGGGCGGAAGCTCTCCGTGGAGGTGGGCGGCGCCAAGCGTCTGCAGACGGTCACTACACTGGGAGAGGCGGCCCTGCTGCTGCCGCTGGCTCTCCTCTCGTGCTTCATACAGGTGGGGATGGAGAATCAACACACTGGAGTAGGTGGCGTTGCTGCTGCCGCTAGCTCTCCTGTCCTGCTTCATACAGGTGGGGGTGGGGAATCACCAGGCTGGGAGAGGCGGCCCTGCTGCTGCCGCTGGCACTCCTCTCGTGCTTCATACAGGTGGGGATGGGGAATCAACACACTGGAGTAGGTGGCGTTGCTGCTGCCGCTAGCTCTCCTGTCCTGCTTCATACAGGTGTGTGCTCACTCCATGGTGGAGCGAGGGAGGCTGCAGCTGTATACGGTGTCCTGGTATCGTAATAGGCATAGAAACGCCGTCTAGCAGTGACTCCTCTCTGTCATGTAACCTCTCCCGCCGCGGTTCCAGGAGTCTCAGGTGGAGTCGGTGACCAGCTACGTGCCGACGCTGGTCATGCTGGCGCTGATGCTGTACGTCGTCGACTTCTACGTCGAGTCCATCAGTGCCAACAGGTATGTGGCTCGTCTGCTCTTCATATCGGAAAACGAGCGGGGTAGGAAACGAACCAGAAGTGGGGCATATTGGTCTTTATAAAGATCATGCGATGATGTGGGATACCTGGTTGGTATTCGTTTGGGCCTTGATTTCGCTATCCAACGTTAATATCCGGTGAGCTACCCCAGACACTGACGCTGCCCCTGCCCTCCGTTCCCCCAGACTGGACGGCTCGCAGCTGGCGCGGGTCGCCTGTCTGGTGCAGACTAGTCTGGCGCTGACTCTCAGCTGGCTCTCCCAGTCTGGTGCTGTGGATGGTTCGGACCAGCCGCACCACGGCCTCTCGGCAGGGGTGATCGCCAGCGGCCTCCTCTTCATGGCCGGTCAGTCGGTGTGGAGGGAGAACGGGACGGGGCAGGGGTAGAGAAGTACGGCAGTGGTCAGTGTGGTGCCACCTTATTGGCAGCTGGGTA